TAATAGGTACTATTCAAATTTTATATTTCCTCCAGAGTTAGTTTCATTAATTTGTCTTCCAAGGTACTTCTTACAAGTTGTCAAATTTATTTCAAAACAGATTTTTGAAATATGCTTTCTATATCCTTTTAAATTCTCTAAAATCTGTGGTAATGTCTCCTAGATCTTGATATTATAATTTAAAAAATGTGTAATTGATATTGTGAAACAGGAAGAAAAGGTATAAAGGTGCAGGGGAAGTGGGAGGGGTAGGGGAATGGAAAACAGGGAAAAGAAAATATATGAGAAAAGGAAAAAAATGGAAACAAATTCTTTGCAAATAGGGAAGGGTGGAGGGGGTGAAGGGAGCACAAGGGAAGGGGAAAAAAAAAGAACCAAGATACTCATGTAAAGGTGCAAGATCCCAATGATGAACGTAACTGTATTTTATACCGAAAATGTACCAATAAACTTAATGGGAAAAAAAAGATGCAAAATTTTATGTTGCATATTATTTTATCACAATTAAAACATTTGGAATCCTGTTTTTAATTCATATTAAAAAACAGAACTGTGGCAGGAACTTGAATACTTCCACTTGTATACCTACTCTCGTATTTGTGTCTGACAAAAAAGCTAAAATATAAATAGGATGCCTTTTAACAAGAGGGAATACAATGATGCTGATGTTTAGGGCAGCTGTCCAACACAGATGACACATCAGCCTCACAATAGGAACAGACTTGCCAGAAGGGCCAGAACACATGGACTCTGAAGACCAGCACTCCCTGAATTCATCTTAACAATAAGGACAGCCTTGCAAAGGTTTCCTCAAGTTGGACCTGCCACAAACCTGTGTGATTTCCTTTCTTCTAAGACTAGCCAATCCTTTTTTGGATTAACCTAATCTTTCTTTAACTATGTGAATACATTCAATTAGATCACAGTCTAAGCTTTCAGATCCAGAAAGTACTCTGCTTAACATGACCTTAGAGATGATAATGAAAATTGTTCATTTCACTTCAAAGAACTCTTTCTCTTATTTATGAGATTTCAGAGATACTTCATTTTAGTGCTGAGGTCTCAATGGCCCTGAACTACATGATAGTAAATAAAATATTTAGTTTAAATCAATTTTTTTCTGCATTACACTGTTGGCAAATCAAATTTTTTCTGCATTATACTACTGGTGTTTAGGAGGGTCGGCATAGACTCTATATCAAGGACTCATCAATTACGATAAATGAGAATTACTGACAGATTTGAAAACGAGAATATAAGGAAGTGAGAAAATATAATTAAATATGAAATAAAGAAAAAGAAATTAAAATCTTGTATGTTATAAAGTAAATATGTATAGAACAGATGCTATTATTAAAAGCTAGGTGGCTTCAAGATGTCAACAAAACTTGTTAGGACAAAGCTGTTTATTGTCTTCCATGATAAGGGAGAATGTCAGCTCAGAGGGCTTTGCTTTTGTCTCCAACAAAAACTTGGCTTAAGTTGTGGATTTCAACATGGCACTTATTAAGACTGGGTGATGATCATGATACAGTAGTTTAAGGTTGTTCTTAAGAGCAAGATGAGGAGTTTGAAGAATCTTTGGGATAAAAACTGTCTATGGAAAAGTTTGGGAGTATCTTTGGGGAATTTCCTGTAATGAGCAATAAAATAATTTTCCTGGACAAAAGTGTCTTGGAATTATAAAATTATTCCAAAAGCAGAACAGTAAAATCATTTAATATAGAACATAAATTGTAAGATGTCGCTTCTGGGCCTTTTGGCTAAGATCAAGTGTAGTATCTGTTCTTATCAGTTTAATAAATTGTAAGATATGCATGGCCTCAGTTCTCAGGATGTGTATATGTATAGTATACTGTACGTGATACAGTTCATCAGTTGCTATGCATATTACACAACTCCAGGGAGCACCATCCACAGTGCAGTCTTTGTAAATAATGTTTCTGGACTATTCAGTGCAACAATCCTATTATATTTATATCATTACTATAATATATTCAATATGATATATATACTATAGTATCCTATGTATGATTTACATTATACATAGTGCATATCGTACACATATCTATGACAAAAGGTAAAGCACTAGAGGGCTTTCACAACGTACAAAGTGTTACTCCATATGTTCTACTTTTTTCATAGAAAAGTGTCTTAGTCACTTTCTCACTGAGGGGTCACAATACCCAATGACCAAAATTTAAAGAACAGGTTTCTTTTGGCTCATTTTTAGAAGTTTCAGTACTTTCGTGGTTGGCTAGATCCAAGCAGAAGCAGCATGCCTCATGGCAGCCAGGAAGCAGAGAGTCAGCAAGGATCTGGAAAGGCAGATACACCCTCCCGGCACCACTCACAGCCACTGGCCTCTTCTGACTGGACCCCACCCCACAACAGAAGTCAGCTACAATGTCCCATAATCCAATCACCTTCCAAACACATGAGGAGGCTTTCAAGACCATTTAGATCTATACTATAACAAAAGGTGAATTTGTTAGACAAGAACTGGCAGAAAATTCAAGAGAGGGAACTTCTTGAGGTCCCAAAATCTTGCAAAGTGCTTGACCCATGCAAGGCCATCAAGAAACATAAAATGCTACATAAAACTACACCTACCTACAGTTGGAAATGTTTGTGATTTTTTTCATCTGTTGTCTCTTTCCTGCTACCTATGGGAAGATCTAGAAAATGAAAGGAGCAGAATGTACATGTGTCGATGTGTTTGTCTTTTTCTTTCCAGTCATCAGCAAAAGTGTTTATTGAGAAAGCAGTTGAAAACTTTTATGAATGTTTCTTAAATTGTCTTTGTTTTCTAGATTCTATTAGGAAGAATTACCATTACCTCGATTTTAAGCAGTAGCAATCCAACCCATTTAGGTTTTGTTTAAAGATTTCTAAATAAGAACTTCTTCTCTCTCAAAAAGTGACAAAATTAAATCAAAAAGTCGAGGAAACTGCAACAATGTATTTATTTGAAATGAACCAGACATTACATTAACCAGATGAAGATGTAAAATGTGTGCAGCATAACTGGTGCAACATTTTAAAAAATCACAAATGAAAAAAAAAATCATTTTCAAAAGAAAATGCTGTAGCCAAGTCACCTATGAACACCATATTGCAACTCATGTTGACTAAACTTCCAGAATAAAGTTTACTTTAAACTTAATAACAAAAAAGATTTCCTTCCCCAACTAAAAGATCCCTTGGCTCCCAACTGCATATCACATCCTTAAGGCAGATTTCATCACCTGACAGTAAGAAGATGATATTTGTCATTCTTGTTAGAAAAAAAAAGCAAACCCTCCTACAAATAAGGAAAATTCTAGGAAACTCAAGCAACTGATCTCTTAGTGGCCCTCAACTAAATGGGGCACCTAGAATCAACATTCTCTAGAACCTAGAACTTACAGTAAGTTTACTTATTAGTAAGACTTTATTGTCATTTAAGAAACCTCCTGGATTCAAGGGCATGCTGATCTGTAATGAGTCATTACATACACACTGAAGGGGTTTCAGATGTTTTTCATCTGCTCATCAAGATTTCCTGAAACCTGTACTCTTGCCCGCTATAATAAATTTCAGCTTATGTATAACAAACTCTCTTTGAAGAAAATCACCACAAATAACCCATCTGTGGAAATATAAGTACTACAAAAGAGCAGTGATGATAAATACTGTTTGGAAAGGCAAAAATGCTACATTAATTTTCAGAGGCACTATTGTAAAATCATCTATGAAATGGAAAACTGCATGTCTTCTTTGAAAATGACTTTCCTTCCATATAGCCAGCAATGCTTGAATGTCCTCTAATAAGCTATTTGTAGGTGACGGAAGTTGGGAGCCCAAATGCAGAACTGTAGGGTTTTTGCTGAGCTGGTGTAACTTTACTCTTCATCCCAGTGGATTTCAATGGTTTGTTCCTAAACATTCCACAGTTCTAAATTTTCAAATGAAAGGGGAAAATGGCTAAGTGCTTATTAGAGTCTCTCAACTGGCCAAGAGGGGAGGGGAGATCTCAAAACAACAAGTCATTTTTGGAAAATCAATCATAATTGTATTTCATTATCCTAAATTGACGGTAGAAAGAACTAAATTGAGAGGTGTCACAATTTAATGGGGAAATGGCTAAACCTTGTCACTTGTTATCTGTTGCTCACTACCATGTAAGTCATTTAAATAAAAAGGCAGAAAACTTATCAGAATAATTTAGGTCCTATATCAGCGGTGGCGAACCTATGGCACATGTGCCGAGGCAGGCTGCTTGTATCACTGAAAGCTCTAAAAGGTGCTTGCTTTGACAGCACATATACTGAAAGCTCTAAAAGGTTCATCATTAGTGTCCTAAATTATATTTTTGAGCCCTGATATTTTCAAACAATGCTGGTCTAATTTACTATAAAATTAGCAACCTTCTTCTTTTTCTTTACCTTGAGCTGGAGAGACTCAGACACAATGTCCTGCTTTCTCTTCCTGTACTTCTAAAGTGAAGCCTAATCAGACTCACAATGCATGAAGATACAATGTGATAACTGGCACAAAGCAGGGAGGGGAAAAAAAAGCCCCTAACTTCCTTAAAAACCAACAGGATCATGACTAGCAACCATTCTCCTATAGACAATGTCAGCAGAACTGAAGACAGATACACATAAAGTAACATAAATGGTTCCACCTTTCCACCATCAAGTGAAACATGCTGTTCTTTGGAGAAAAAAATACATTCATTTTTTTCAAGTATATCTAAATATACAAAAATGCTCTATCTTTATTTCACTATAAAGACAAAAAGATTTCACATATGCCCAAGGAGAATTCCATTTGAACTTCCCTTGGGTGTAGATTTCATGAAGTTCTGACTGAAAAATAATTGCTCTTAATATATGTCTACTCATTTTATTTGAAAGTGTGAACCCTTTATGTCTATTTTATATATATGTACATAGTCAGCAACAAGAAAAACCAGTCTATATCTGTACAATGGCATAGGATTGGCTTGCTCTAATGAAAGCCAGGTCTGCCTGCTGACCTGGCTCAGCACTGGTGGTAAGTGGTTCCTCCAACTTGGGTGTCCTGCCAGGCCACTGGCATACAGGCTCTTTCTCTCTGGGGTTCTAAGGAGCACCTTCTGCTGCAACCGCAAGTCTTGAATTATGGCTTATTTCCTGTCTTGGCTTTGTTGTTAGGGTTGCAGTTTAGTTCTCTCAGCAGTGATTCACAATTGGCTAGGGCATCCGCTGGCAGAAGCTTCTGGATTTGCTCCACAGTCTTTTGATAAGCCATTTTTTCCTGTTCCAGGGTCCGGATTAAAGTCTTCATTTTGGTCTCTCTGGTCAAAAGATTTTCCAGATTTGATTCCAGGGACTGAATCTTAGCATGAGCCACCTATTTGGCAAGGGGAAAAAAAATCCTCCAAATCAAAAATTTGAAGAGTCTCGTTGTTTATTGTAACAGCAGCCAGGCCTCATTATATTAACTAATTATATCAAATTATTTAATAAAATATTATAAGATGCAAATGTTGTGAGAACAGATTTTTAAGTCACTCAAAAATATAACTATTACCACTAACATGATTCATCTCTCACTGACTGCACCAATAATGCGATGCTGAATCACCACCCTACATGCTGGGGTCCTCAAGCCACACCCACTGGGGTTCCTCTGAGTGAGTGAGGTCTGGCCTTGGTGAAGGAGAAACAGGAGATTTCTGATGTGATCTTCCAGTACTCAAAGCCCTCTGCCTGGAAATGCAGGGTTCTCTAAACATATACTTGGGATCCTATCAGTTTTGATGGGAGTCAAGGGTGCCCAAGAAATTTGATGACTACACCACAGTGTCACTGAAAACTCTGTAACAATTAAGAACAATTATTAACATTAAACAGGTGCAAATTCTCCTTCTCTAATAAGGAGATGCTCAATTAATCATTCTTGAAATGTCCGAGTAATAAGGGACAATACACTGACTACTTTTTTAAAAAGAGATTATGTTGGCTGTGTTTTCAATAGAAAAAAATGATAAAACTTTTTATAAGCCAGAGATAATATAAGATGACGTAAAGGAAGTTAAGTGCTATTCTTAGGGACTACGTTGTAGAAGCCTTATTTCTAAGCTGTTTTCCATCCTAGCTGGTCTTGCTAGGGGATTCATCAAATAGAGTCACGTTTGAGTGTTTTCTAGGTTGGAGAAGTTGCAGTGCTGGGGAAATGGGGCTAAAAGGGGGCAGCTGTGGGTGAGCAGAACTCAAGGAGCCATTCGGAACTTAAATTCCAACTCAGGGCTCATCTGCCCCCATAAGCTTCTCCTGCTGACATGGTTTGGACATAGGTAGAGTGTGTCCTCCATGGGCCCCTGTATCAGAAGGGTGGTCATCAGTGAGGTGATATTACAGGTGGGATGATTTTTGAGAGGTGGGGCCTTGGCGAGTGGTCCCCAGACCATTGAGGGAGCTGCCCCAGAAAGGGATTATGACAGTTTTCACAGGTCTGTGGTTAGTTGAGGTGAGAGGGTTGTTATCAAAGAGCAAGACTGGCCCCTCTGAATCCAAGTAATCTCTCCCTCTCCCACAGTCTTTCACTATGATGCCACTTGCCAGGGGGGCCCGTCAGAAAGAGCACCATGCTGTTTAGATTTTCAGCCTCCAAAACTGAGATTTAAAAAAAAAAACCCTCTTCCTGATAAGTTACTAGGTTTCAGATATTTCATTGCATACCCAAAACTGGCAACTTCCACTCCCCTGATCATTGTTAAGCCCAGCCCCTCAAGGCATAAATAAAGACCACTTATCATACTAGTTGCAGAGACAGAATACTACTTTATAATAATTGTTTACTGTATCTGTGTGTATTTATATAAATATTTGAGATTTTATTTTCCGGAGTAGTTGTAAACTCCTGGATGGCAGGAACTATATGCTTGATGTTTTCATTCCACTCACCCAGAAACATCTTCTCTTTCCATTTCTATTTTACCCTAGATAATTCTCATCATCCACATTTTTTTGCACATGTCTTCTGGCTGGCCGTCCTACCTGGCTCTTGCCGTCCTAATCTGTCTCCATCAAGCTTTCCAAACTGATCTTTATAATGCATTCAGGAGGCATTCATGGATTTCTCTGGTCAAATCTTTATTTCTTTACCTGTAGTTTTTCTAGGAGGTCCATGTTCTGTCTTTTCAGTTGGCTGTTGGCCCTCTCCAGCTTCTCCAAAGGTTCATTATCCTCACAGGCATATGAAGATTCCTGGAGTTCATCCTGCAACACATGGTATTCTACCTCATAGGCATGTAACTGTTTAGAAATATCCATCTCAAAAACCTGCAAGGGAAACACCCAAGGTTAGTCTGGTCTTCAGTACCAACATTCTCTCTGTATATGCTGTGCATGCAACAACATTCTATCTGTGTACCCCATATCTGTTTCCAAATACTTATTAATGAGGAACATTAAAGCATACAAAAAGGAAAATAGATAGATGTGACTCTCAATACAAGGACAATTAGATCACAGACTATTTGTACCCAACAGAGACATTCTCATAGCAAGATTAAGGCATGAAAATAAATTAAGTCAATATTTTGCAATCAAAATAAAAACATTAGTTATTGAGCAATTATTTCTAAGTTAGAGATGATTATTGCTAATTAGTAAGCAAAACTGCATAGGTTATGTCTATGATACAGAGACTAAAAACATTTCTAATTTATTTGTCAATGGAGCAGAAAGGTCTTAAAAAATGGTTTCACCCACTTGCTCTTCTACATGAGCCTTTTGTGAGTCATTTACATATCCTACTACACAGAGAATCCTCAAAATTGTGCACCCTGGTTTAACTGGGCTGCTGCCACTCATCTATATTATTACCAAAAAGGAAGAGGTTCGTTTAAAAGTTAGAGGACAGGCAACCCTTCCTTAGTCTAGACATGCTGGAGGAGGTGAGGCAGCACTGTGATTTAAGCAAGGTTGTCTGATACTGTGGAGTATCAGATACTGTGGAGAACAAAAAAACATTAAAAAAAATCTGACCTTACTACTTATTAGAGATACTCAAGTATTAGAATTTTAATAAGGGAATTTCTGGACTAACTAGTCATCCTCTGAAACAGCATAATCTTTTCCTTGCCTAGCTGGTACAGGTATGATGTACCATTACACACCCATTAAAAATGATATGCACATGCCTGTAATCCTCTTGGAGGCTGAGGCAGCAGGGCTGGGGATATTGCTCAGAGTAAAGGTCCTGAATTTAGCCCCAGTACGGTGAATGATGGTGGGGATTAGGGATCTGTTTCTATAAGCATGGAAAAAGTCCAACACTTTAAACATATTTTAATTAAAAATTAAGTCGTACAATAGAATTTACAGTACAGTTTCAGTTATGTAAAAGTGTATACATATTTACATATGTATATAAACAGATATATGTGTAGCAGGCCACTTCAAAGATTATCATCCTAGATATTCATTCTATAGTTACTTTTACTTTCCTTTTTGTGCTTTTCGGAACAATTTGCATTTTTTATAATGTCCGTAAATAAAACTCATCAAGGTCTCTTTCAATATCAGGAGTTCATTCCACAGTTAATTAACTCCAACAGTCAGGCAGCTCTCTCTAATATCAAATCCAAAAATACCTAACTATAAATTCTCTCCATTAATCCTAGTCGTAATCTGTAAAACCAGACAATTCCTTCATTAATTTTGAAGACAAGTAACATCTGATTTCAATCTTCCCAAACCACAATTTCCAACAGCTTACCAGTAAAATAAAGTGCTGAAGAATTAGTAAACAAATAAATACGTAGAAAAAATCTATACTTTCCTGCTTACAGAGTATCTTAATATATTGCTTCCTGGCCTTTTGGCTAAGATCAAATGTAGTATTTGTTCTATCAGACTATCTTAATACATAAAACTGATATTTACAGAATAATTTGTGATTTAGATTTCATGCAGTGGAAAGATTATTTTATATATGATAATACAATGAAGAGTTCATATTAGAGTATTAATTGGAGCATATGAAATACGTTAACTTATAATTTGCAAACATAATAGGACCAATTATTATTGTTTCCTTTTTGGAAGACTTAAGGTCATCCAAAGTCACACAGCTAAGAGGTGGCAAGGCATCAGAATACATTTCAAACCCCCTTCTCTTCTCTAAATTCCATCTTCTTTCTGTTATCCCAATTGCCTTCAGAAAAGTGCTAATCTTGATCAGTGTACATAAGCACGACTGTAGGATCTACAGGTCTGCTCTGAAGGTTGCTAATTTCATCTGAACAACATCAATATTTAACTACCCATATCCAGTCCCTATGAAGAGCCAGGGACTAAATCTATGGTGTGCAGGTTCCTTTTCGTTTACTTCCCAGAGCCTCTCTCTGCTCTCATCCCCTCTGTCTCCCAGGACCAGGCCCCAGTGAACTTCATGCCCTATGCTTCCTTCCTGACTGCTTCTGGTTGGGTTTGGTCAAGGGCAGGTGCTAGCAGGAGATTAGAAGGTGCAGGGCCAGGTGGGGGTACAGTATTTCTCCCTGGGCCCTTGCCTGCTTAGTTTATCAAGACCACAGTAACTGCCCTTCCTCCATAGTTCCAACTCTCATAGGTCCTGATCACCATTAAAGGTGTGATCTACAGTGAATGTTCAAATTTTTAAAAAATTATTACAGTAAAAGACACATTGCCATTAACCGCCCTGAAAAACACTCCCCCTCACTTTGAACACACTTTTTCCATTATCCTTGTCACTTCTGAAGTAGTTCTGGAAGTTTTCTTTCATGTCTTTGCATTGTCATGGCTGCCTCAATGTTCTGCGTCAATTTAAACATTTACCTTTCATAGTAATTTTGACTTTAGGAAAGAGCAAGGAGTTGCAAGGTGCCAGATCCGGTGAATAAGGTGGATAAGGACACACCATAATGTTTTTATGAGCCTGCCTTTTTGTTGGATGGCACCAAGCAGCAACATTCACTGTAGTTTTGATCACACTTCATAAAGATACAAATGCAAGAGGACCTCCAGAGCTGGTTCAGAAAGTAGCCAGAATGATAGGATAAGTGTATTTGAACCAGGAGGGAGTATGTTGAAGAGGACTGATGGCAATGTGTCTTTCACTGTAATAATTTTTTTAATTTAAGCATTCACTGTATATTTTGATTATCCCTGTACATTTTCCACTCGCCCCTTCACTACCAGGGTAAGGAGCAGCTTCCCTCTGTTGTACTTCCTAGACAAATGGACATCTGTTTTGATTCCCTCAACCCTCCCCACACTTCTGTAAATGGTCCTATCATTGGACTCAGCAGAGAGAAACTCCCTCCTGATGCAAGTTTCACAAAACTTCCTGGAACATTATCATCCTATTTCGGAGCTGAGAAATAATACAGTTCAGAAGATAAGGATGGCAAGTGCATTCCACACGACAAAGAAAAGACTTACTGACACAGTCATGTCAATCAATAAATTTTAATGAAAAAATGTTAGAAGATGATACAAACCAATACTTTCCAAACCTTATGTTCTCTCATTACATGACCTCCTTGTATATTGTACAACAGAATTGATGGTATGAAAAAAGTAGGTAGATCTCATTGTATTCTCAGATCTTCCTGACTCTGTGCGGTCTATCTATGGTCTCAGGACTGGTTAAATTGAAAGGATTCCTGAAAAACTCATGAAGTAACAGTAACCCATATTTCCTGTGCTACCCAGGAAATGCCACACAGACAATGTCGCTTGTAGAAATTTTGAAATATTTTATTTCTAAGAAAATCTGATCAAACAACAAACAATCTTGAAGAAAATCATACCTGTCGAGCAAAACTATATTTTAATGCAAAAGCATTTAATATATAGCCAGTAGAGAAACTGCTGTGATCTTATATTTTATTATTATTATTGTTTAAATCATACCTGGGTAATAATTTTTTCCATTTCAGAAGTGTTCATATCAGGTAACCTGCTTTTTAGGAATTCAACAATACTCTCAAAGTTTTCACATTGCATTATAAGTGTCTCTTGACTGCTTAGCAGGCTCAGAGCAACCTTAAATATAACTTCAGTTCCCTGAAGAAAAATAATATCTAAAAGAAGAGACAATTTTCATGATCAAAACTGTGCACCCACTATCATAAAAAGAGTACTCTTTGTGTTAAAGGTGTGTGTGTGTGTGTGTGTGTGTGTTTTATTCCTGAAGTAGAACTAGAGATTATTTTGCAAAAGAAAACATCAAAATCACATAGCTTTTATAAAAAAATTATTTGACAAACAGATGTCTGAATATTTCCCATACTTATTAGAAATATCAGATAAGGCTAAGGTAAAAAGGACAAATTATATATATATATGGTTATCTATGCATTGGTTATAATTTGAATAGCAAATTTAGCAGAGGATCAGTAAACCTCAAAGATCCAACTAATATTTAAATTTTCCTACACAATAGAATATAAAAAATCAACATAACCAATTATTATTCAAACTCTCATAATAGAAAAGAAAATGAGCCAGTTAATATGTAAATCTATATGAGGAGAAAATTGAAGAAAAAAAGCTTTAATAATAAAATCAAAACAAGAGTCAGAAGAAAAAAAAAGAAAAGCTTACTCTAAACTGATTGCTTGCAAATACAAACATGCAATAGTTTTGAAAATAAAATGGCATGAAAATTTTTCTCAATATATATTCTTTTGTTAAAAATATACAGTGGAGGGCTGGGGATTTAGCTCAGTGGCACCGCACCTGCCTCACAAGCACAAGGTCCTGAGTTTGATCTCCAGCACAAAAAAATACAGTGGAGGGTCTTTAAAAAGGGAAATGTCTAGGAATTATTTCAGACATGGTCATTCTTTTTGGTCTTGCATTGTTTCATTTCATGACAGTCTCTATTTTTCACTGAATTCAAAGGAAAAGATTGAGTAATTATCATGCAGCTGATAGTTTCAGTTATAATCTCATAGCAAGAGACAATTAGGAACATTTGTTTCTTGAACCCTTGGTATCAACCTTCCAAGGATAAGTCAATGAGAGATACCACAAAATATCTGTCAAATTTGACATAGAAATACATATATAAAAGGATTGTATATATTTCTCTGAAAACTAGATATATAAAAAGACTTTTAGAAGATTCATTAATAGGAATTCAACCTCCAGAGAAAATTTCACTAGAGACAAAAATCATGTCTATTATGTAAACAAGAGAAATCTGGCAACCATTTGATTTAGTGCAACTTGATTTTATGCTTTTGTTACAATTTGTTTACAAATCATATTTCAACTAATGTAGTGTTTTTTAAAACCACAGCCTTCCCCGTAAGACTGAAAATTATAATCTGTTATATGCACAAGTTACACGTACATCTTCAAAACTGAAGTTTCCCCAAGAAATATTTTTCCTATTTGTTATCTTTAATATTTTCACTGAGTTCTATTTTATGTCATTTTTTAAAATGCTGGTAATGACCTAAAAGTGGGCCAATACTTTAATTTGACCAAAAGCGCCAATTTACCAAAAGCACAGTTGTGAATGAATACTGATGACTTTCACCATGGCTACCAGATAGACAAGCAGAATAAAAACCTGTGGGAAGGCCCGGGGATTTAGCTCGGTGGTTACCCTGGCTGCCTCGCAAATGCAAGGACCCGAGTTCGATTCCCCAGTACCAAAAAAAAACCCCAAAAACAAGCAAACAGAAAACCTGTGGGAACCCTGTCTGCCACTACTGAGAGCCCAAACAACATCATTAGAACAAACCTCTACTGATGAGTTGTTGTTGTTTTTAATTTTTTGTTTGTTTGTTTTTTAAAAGACAGACTTAGACAAACCTAAAGAAAAACTTGTAAACAGAATTAGAGGCCCCAACAGGAGCATAAAATATATCATACTTTCTTTTGTCCTAGTTTCAAGCACCATTATCTGAGCAAGATAGGTGCTCAATAACTTCCCCGGTCTATGTTTAATGTTTCCCCCAGAGCCACCCAATTTTAGAAGTGGCAACAAGCCCTGAACAGGCATGAAAGAAGTGTCACTTAATCATGAAACAGGAATCAAAGTCAAATTGAAATATCCCATTAAAAGTAACACTGATAATAAGTATTTCCATTGACCCAGTTAGAGAAGATGGTTCTCTGTGTTTTGAACCCACATTCAAGAAGACAATTGGAAAAGGGGAAAAAAGAACAAAACAAAATAGAGGTATGAAGATGTACTGAAAAACCATATGATGTATGTCCCTCATTTGATTTTCAAAACTATACTTTAATTCTTAAGCAAAAATAAAAACAAGAGCTCCATTATAGTTTGCTCAAATACGGGTCCATTTTTTTCTACTGAATCTTAATTTTATGTAAGATTAATAAGGCTTTAACTTGCAGAATAGAACCAACCACATTTATTTAACTCTACTAGCAATTTGCTGTTCTGTGTAACACATGATAAAATAGTTGATGTACCACATGGCTAGAAGTATATTTCCTGGAATAAACAACACTACCCACTTAATAAGAGTTTCTTACCAAAAACTCTGGCTACAAATCCTAATGGAAACTGAGAGGCAAACAATGTAAGGAACCAAGGGGCAGCGTAAAGACTGGGGCTGATTTCATTTTCTTCAAGGTGATTGTAGAGCTCTCTGTGGTAGTCATGGAGGAGCCTGGACAGCTGGTACATTTGAATCTACAGTTAATTTGGAGAAGAAAAATGAAATATACATTTTTGATTTATATAAAATATACTAACTTGACGTATTCTAACATTTAATAACAATTCATATATATTCAGTAAGTAGTAACAGTATGACTTTATTTTAATTATGATTTTAAAGTTGATATTCAAGTCCAAGTTCACTCACCTGAGTTTATAAAGCCAGTCACTCTAAGTCTATCTAAGTCTCTTGAGCAAGGTTTTCTATTATGGTTGTTTGAGTATCATGGACATACATGGAAATAATAGTTTCCCTCTTGAAGAGGGCATTGTTTTTGGAATTTAATTTGAACTCTCCTGGTCCCCATTATAAAGATCGTATATGGGGCTGGGGATGTAGCTCAGTGGCACAGCACCTGCCTCGAAAGCACAAGATCCTGAGTTTGATCCCCAGTACCAAAAAACAAACAAACAAACAAACAAAGACCCTATATGTTCACTGCAGAAGCAAAGCTTGGCTTTATTTTCAGGGCTCAGAATTTGATTTATAACGGAGTTCTGGCTAAGGCCCACAGGACAAGCTGCATTGCTAAGATGGAATGGAGGCTTAGAATGTCCCGGGACAAGAAGCTTGAGATGTTTCTTCTAATATCCAAGTTATTCCAGCAACATGTTTTTCACAACAAAGGGGATTAAAATAAAAAGTGCAGCTGTTTCTGAATATTTCTAGAATTAGAAGGGAAAATATTTCATTTGTCTACTGAGTTGATTAACAGCATTTCAAAAAATATTTTACAGACATTGCATGAGAACTTTCAAATTCTTCTGTCTGTGACATTAAACATAAAGCAAATGTAAATAATAAATTTGTGAGTGTGCTTTAAATTTTTATCCACACAGATAATGGATGAGTGATGGACCCATGTCAATGATATAAGCTTGACATTTTGGTGTAAAACGTAAATAATGTTTCATTAAAATCAGAAGAATTTCTTTCCTAAGAAGAAATCCTTAAAATATCACCCTTATAAAGGCAGCACTATGAAAATACCTATAACCTAATATATTTTGAATTTAGTAATTCTTTCCAGAGCATAAATCTATAAAAGAGGTGACACCTTGGGTGAAAAAATTCTTAAAATACTATACAAAAATACCCGCCTACCTCGCAAGCGCAAGGACCCGAGTTCGATCCCCGGTACCAAAAAAAAAAAAAATACTATACAAAAATACAGCAAATTATGTTTGATTGTTATCTACAATACATAAATTTGGAAACTAAGTTTCCACAGAAACTGTAAAAGGAAATCAAAGAGCCACAGGAAGTCATAACTATAAAATAAGCAGCTTAGCTGAAGTCAAACACAGAAGTTTTTAAATGTGACTAATATCTCAATAAGTCAAGTTGAAAAAAATCATACATTTTCCTTATGGTTCAGAAATGAGACATAGTGGCACTTATCAACAGGAGAATTGGTGTTTTGGAAACTAATTCTTTGGAAGCCAAGCAAGTGTAATTAGCAGAGAAAAAAGAAAGTATTTCATCACAGACATTCTGATTTTCTTGTACAACTGTGATCATAACAAAGAAGCAATGTGCAGTGTCAAATATTTTTTAAAGGATCTTACTTTACACCTCTCCCCCAACTCCCATCTTCTAAACTTGGGATTGAGGACATTTCTTCCATCATCATCTATTTAGGCCGAGGAAGAAAAGAAAATTCAAGCTTCTTTCAAGAGAAGCTTTAATAATAAAATCCTATTTGTTAAAAATGAATAATCTCCAATTATTCTTTATCAATAACATGGCAAAACTCCAGATGAAAGAGATAAAAGTCAAGGAAGATGCAGAGATAAGGGAGAAGAAGAAAAGATGGAGAAAGAAAAGACTAATGACTTCCGTGAAAAAAGTATTACTTTACACTCAACATAGAAATCAGTAGATACAAAACATGAGAAAATATAAATATTTGAAGTTGAAAGAGAACGCAATCTCATTTTACAGATAAGGTAAGTGAGACATGAGTGTACCCAAGCTCACCACCAGTGAAGCAAGAAATCAGAAACCCTATCAAGAAAATCTAAGCCCACTGGAATAGGCATTTAGGTACACTTCTGAAAGCTGTATTGATTGAAACAAAACACTAATTTCTTGTTCTAGTAAGTGAAAATATTTTATACCTCACTTTATAAAGTCCAAAGATCTATCTACTCTCTTAAAATTAAAGTTCCATAAGGTCTTTAATATTGTAGCCTATAAGAATGTTGCCATCAAAGATTTACAAGTATCCATTTTCAAAATTAGCGATACAAACTATTTCATGCTAATTGCAAGTAATGTTAATTTATGAGTTTTTGTCATGTCAAATAGATAAAGAATTTTTCAGTGGAGAAATTGTTGCATTTCAAAACTATGATAGCTGCATCTTTTTGTTATGGTCCACAATCAAACACTATTCACAGGTACTTTTCATGCTTTGAAAACAAAATTATTTTCAGAATGGGATTAAAGCTAGGACCTTCACACTGAGCTAGCTCTCCAACCTCCTTCCCCTTTTTATTTTTAGACAGAGTCTTCCTAAGTCTCTAAATTACCCAAGCTGAGCTTGCATTTGTAATCTTCCCACCTCTGTCTCCCAAAGTTCTGGAATTACAGGCCTGCACCACCAGGTCTGGCCACCATTCTTTGAAACTCTAATGACAGCTATCAAATTGTTGTTCCTAAAAGTCTGAGTTAAGGCCTTACAATGATGCCAATGAAGTATAAGCAAACTGTTTAGGAAAAAAGTGAAAGATGAAACATTTCATAGTCATTATTTGACCTGTTAATAGAGGAATGAATACTCATCAGCTAGCTACCAAGTTACTGCAATTATGTGTCCTGGGAAACACACCCTGTGTACTCCAAAGTAAACTAAAACATGCCCCATTCATTTGCCCAAGTTCTAAGAAACTAAGTACAAACTTCTTTCATTGTTAACTCCAACTCAGAAGAGAGCTGGTGCCAAGACTGCTGGTAAGAGCCTCCCATGAAAAGCCACCCTCATGAAAAGCCACCACCTCACCTGAAGTGACGTCATGTCCGGTCTGTACTGCTTACGGAAACCTAGGTCATACATGAGAAATTTCAGCATTTCAAAGGCTTGCTCTTCACTCATGTGGAGAAGCAGGACTCCAGCCACGAAGCTGATCCCCTGACAGTAGCCCACTTCTTTGTCCAGCAAAGAATACGCTTTCAGAAGGTTAAAGAGTGATAGCTGCCCTGCCCCAAGCTGTACTGAAAAGTAAGGATGAGTAGGAAACGTCCTTCCTGCAGAGGAAAAGTAGAGAAAATTGTTTTCAGATGTTCTGATACTGTGGAGACCAGAGTAAAAACACAATTCATGCAATTCAGTAAGCTCCAAAAATAAATGAACACTCTCAAATGAGTAAGTTGAGCAAGTGTTGCTTCATCTAGGACTCAATCTTTTTATCTGTCTCTATCAAGTCTTATATGCCAGGCTACCACCCTAACTCCACATATATGATACAAGGGCAAACAATTTTTGCTAGCCAGTACTTCTTTCTAGCAAAACAATAAAATAAAATCCACAAACATATCCAGGACAGATCATAGGAGAATAGAACATAAAATTTATCCTGACTATAATTCAAGACAAGTTCTAAGTGCATATAAAGATCATCCTCTAATTGAAATCAGGATTCTATTAAGAGGCATCATGTTATTTAAAAAGAAGTCTTGGTAGTCCATAAGGAGAAGTATCCCTACTTTTCTTGTAATAGGACTTTCCAGTTTTTGTTTTGCTTTGTGTTCAGTTTATCATTAGGAAATATTTCTTTTTCAAATATCCTTTGGTGTTTGTTCGTCAAAATACTTACATAAACCATGTAGGCCCCCTTTTCTTTCAACATATCCAAAAAAGGACACATATATGTCCAATGAAAGCAAAGAAAGTAAAAGGTTGTGCTAATTTCAAATAAATTCCCCTGTAAAGCTTACCTCTGAGTGTAAAGTTACAAGGCAGATGCCAGCTAGCAAATGAACTCAGTCCTGCTCCCCTAAAACGCTGGTACTAAGCACTAACACAAATCAATCTTCTCCACCAAGGCTGTATACGCTGGTCCAGGATTTCCTTTGTACTACACATGAAATGACTTGTGAAATGATTACTCATGTTAGTTAGAATTTGGAAGAATGATAGATTTTAAAATGTTTTCTACTACATAGGCTTAAAAGTGATTTTTTTAAAGGAACTGATAAGATTAAGTGTGCAGAGTAAGGGAAAGAAAAGAGAAAATAACAAGAATATGCTGCAGAAACACAGATGGCTACAAACAGAGTGAACGAAGCAATTTTTAAAAGTATCAATTTACTTTCTCACTTAAAAATTTTTCTAAAGAAAACTATAAATACACTGTCTATCCACAAAGCTTGACTTTAGCTCCATTTCTGTCTCACCAGCCTGTCCCCGAAAACTGATCTCATCATCTCCCTCATTATTAGCATATGTGGGTCTATCGTGATTGGAACCCCTCAATTGTTTGTGTTTTTTTTGGTACCGGGGATCGAACTTGGGACCTTGCACCTACAAGGAAGGTGCCAGAACCACTGAGCTAAATCCCTGGCCCTCAATCCTGGTTTTTACCACTAATTTATGGTCATAGATCTACAGCTCTGCACAGGACCCTAGGGACTGGTTAGTCCAAAGTCCCCACCTAACAGGGAAGATTGAGAGGCAGAAGCAAAGCAACTAGTCTAAGATCACAGTTAGTGGTAAAATCAGGACAACAACACAAGTGTTCAGTTTCTGAACTGTGCCCATTTAAATTTTATTGCACCCAAAAAGGATTTAATTGAGCTAGGCTCTTTCCCAACAAAAGCTGCTTGCTATCCAAAAGGAACAGAGGTTAAAAACTCAGGTTTGGTCAGTGATATTTTTATGTTCTAACGTAAGATTATGACAAATACAAAGCAATCCCCTATTTACCCTCAGGGGCTTGAGTAACATATCTGGCCACCTGAAATGTATCACAACTTTCAGTACTCAAGAAACAGTCAAATAGCAACGTTTAGGTATTTTAAAATAATAAAGTTTGTTTAATAGGTTAAGAGAAAAATAGTATAATTTTTAAATCATACCATTTTTATTTTCCACAATTTATTTGAAATTCAGCATTAAAAAGATTGCTTTATGGTGCTGATACTGACAATTCTCCCCCAGACATAAGTACTCATCCATCAGCAATGAAACAGTTTTCCATCCATGTGATAGGTGGTGTTCATGATTTCCACATCACCTCTTATTGTATTGCTTTTTTTCTGGGGGTTCTAAAAAGCGATCCCCTCCTTTCTTTTTGTGAAGAGTGGGCTAGGTCCACCTGGCACTGGCTGCATCTACACCTGCATGCTTCCCAGAGCCATCCAATCACTCCTGGGGCCAGAGGCAGGCAACTATTGCATTGCTCTTGAAAAAGATACCTAAAGACTTATTTTTATCAGTTTGTCCAAGAATTCTTAAAACATCTTTGTTAAATTTTTTGGTCTCCATTTAACCCATTTTAACTTAATTCAACATCAGCACTGGTTAAGATATAAATTGCCCATCCCAAACAAAAGTCATTTGTTCAAAATACAGTATCTGAGGGTGCCCCATAATATGACCTTTGTAGTGGGTCAACTATAAGATGATTCCTTTTTCAGAGAGAAAGTTTTGGGTGAAAACTTCCATTTTATACTCAGACATTTGTGGTACCTTCGGAAGAGAAGAAGGCTAGCAACTCTGCAGGTACCAACAGATCCTCTCCATCGATGCCAACCAACAAAAAACTTGTTCATTTGCATAATTATAATCAGTGACACACATACCCAAATCCACAAGAATCGCATGCTGCTGAGCAGTGAGCTGCTTTAGAAGCTCCTTGTAGGATGTGTCAGGAGGTTGGTGTTTATTAGGCAGTCTGTGTCTCAGACGGTATTGTAAAGCTAGGAACTGCCAAATTTCTCCTCGTCGACTTTTGGGAACTCCTATAACCAAAGAGAGATTAAAAACAAAGCAAAAAAAAAAAAAAACAAAGCCTTGAGCCCTGGAATAAAGTTGTTAAACTGTAGTTGGTGAACTACGTAACTCTTGAAAGCAAGCAACTGTCTTGTCCTGCATGCCATCCTCAGGTCACACAGTACAATATGGTGACAAGTGTGTTTTGACAAGTTTAATTCTATAGCTCCTGACATCTTGCAAATAAAAGCCTTCAAACGATGATAATAATAGCTATATTAGCAATAACATCAACCAATAGATTGACCACCTAATTAAAGATTTATTAAGAATTTTTAACTACTGAACATTGTCATTCAAAAAGAGAAAAATGCTATGAGATAGCTAATTACTGTTAGTACCACTTTACAGATGGGAAAGTTGGTACAGAAAGAATTTAAGCAAATTTCCCAAGTTCACACGGCTAGTAAGTGCATACAAAATTAGAACTCTGAAAGTCTGGTTATAGAAGCCAAATCCTGTAATCCCAAAATTTATTATTGCCTAATTCACCTTTTATTTGGCTTGATGACAGCAACAAATGCTAATCCTCACATTATAATTTCTAAGTGTTTGTCATCCACAAGTAATTTTGTAAAAATATAATGAAAACACATTCTTATATAGTCATAAAAGAACAAAATAATAAAAGTAGTAAACATAATAAGAGGGTATAACTAAAGCATTCTAGAACTGCATTCAGCCATTATGAAGAAACTGCTTAGCACTTACAGTGAAATACTAACCCTATTATGCTTAAAATACAAAGAATATCATTTGAAAGTATGCTAAAATTATGTTTTCATTCGAAGAGACAGGAAGTAAGTGTGGGAAGGACAAAACTTTAATCCTATATTGTGTAGGTAACTTTATTTCACTCACTTAAGAGTTTTCAGTTCATTAACCTAGATCTGAACACGTTCCTTAGCTCCAGCTGGTTAAGGGAAAGTTTAAAGGCAGTAATCTCTTCTGACTGATCCCAGTGTTTGCGAAAGGTAGAAATGTTATCATCCAGCAGGTAAAGCTCAGGTTTGACCTGATTTATAAGCCCCTCACCAGAATACAGCTCCAAGCTACCTTTGTTAGCCCCATTTCCTGCCATACGACAGAAGACTGTGGTTATGTTCACTCCTCGAATGTCTTGCTCCTGCTGTTGCCTTTATGGAATTCCAAAATTTGATGGCCCCAACTATTACTGTTCATCTCTCTGATAAGCCTGAGCGTCATTTTTTCTGCTGAAACTTTCACTGTCATCTTTAAGAACAATCAATCCTTTTTTGCATACAATTTGATTCATATTGAAATGTTGCCATGTTGGTTTACATTTAACTCTGGACTCTACGCTTGTCCATTTTCCCCAATGTAGATGGTGAGTTCCTCTGGAACAGTGAGCATACTTTCATCTCTGAAGGATGAATATATCTTGCTACTTAAACATTTGTTGAATGAATGAAAGCATATAAAATGTCATTTTTAGAGAATAGCTTTCATTAGTTCATTAATAAATCACTGTTAATATGACTTGGCTGTTTTTCTACCCATGCAACAACAAATTTCCAAGGAGTTAATTCATGTTAATTAAACAAACATTAGTTGGGCTGCTAGTATGTAGTGGAACACAGAGAAGGCACTGAGGATATCTCATCTCAGACAGGTGAATAAACCCATTCTCAAGAAAATCAGTCTAATTCATCGATCCACCCAACCATCCACCATCCATGCACCCATCCATCCAATAAGTAACTTGTGTAAGATACTATCTTGGGAGCTAGCTGTGCAGGTGGAGCAAGAAAAACACTAAACAAACATAAACATTAGTATAAAATTATAAATTATGATAAGTATCATTGATTATGAGAAAGAATAATAAAACAACAGATTTATTTTGGTTGTGAGGACCAGGGATGGTGCTCTGAGGAAATGGTAAGAGAGAATAGAAATCTCCAGGTTGAGAGCGTTGGCAACAATCACTTCAGGAAGAGGGTTGTGTGAGGGACCTAAGAGGCACAGAGGGAAGGGAGGAGAAAAGAGGACTAAGAAGAGGGAATGGAAAAGAGGGGAAACAGGGAGAAGTAGAGAGGTAAGGAAGGAAGAGTCAAAGAAGGACTGGAACACTCCATGGAAGAACTAGCCCGGGACCCAAAGTAGTTCAGCCTCTCTGCAGGACACAGTACAAAGCAGAAAAAGCAGAAATGGCATCAGACAGATGGAAGAAGGAAAGATCATGGAGGCCATGGGTGCAATGTGAAGAAGTTTAAATTGTATCTATAAGGAAAAGGAATTGAGCACCCCTAAAACATCTTTAAAAGTCATACCAAAGAATGGTGAGACCTACAGCTCACATACATTCCATTAAACCACTATTTTCTCTCCCAAATAATGTACTCAACAAAAATCTTTAGGATTTCCAAATATTCAAGGAAAAAGAATAAGATACTGGGCTTGTAAACATGGCATTTTACAAAATAAATGTTATTTTAATCTAAAGTGTACAACAGTTTCACCCATTATCACAGGCTTTTAAAACAAGATTATCAGATTTCTTGGGGTATTCTGTAATTTTTATTTTATAGCCAGTTTATGCAAACCATGGGAGACTCTCGTTTTAATAATTTAAATCTGGGTCACATAAATTGCACACAAAATATTCATATTTTTGTTTTAATTTTTAAGTGTTTAAATATCAGGCATTAAAATATCAGGTAATAACACAAGAGTAAATAAAATATGGTGGCTCTATAAAAATCATTTCTCCAAAGTAAATGAAGCTGGGTGCGGTGGCGCAGGCCTGTAATCCCAGCACTCGGGAGGCTGAGGTAGGAGGATTGCTCCAAGTTCGAGGCCAGCCTGGGCTACATAGTGAGTTCAGGGCCAGCCTGAACTACAAAGGGAGAACGTGCCTCAAAAAAAAAAAAGTAAATGAAGGAATGAGAGGATAGAGAGGAAAACGACTGCTTAATAAGGCAAATCTGTATATATAAATACATACATTGTATATAAATATACATTAATATATAATAATATATAATATACATGATTGTATACACACATTCATATAAATATACACACGTTAATATACAACTCTGACAAAATGATGGAAATGAGTCAAGTTTGTAAGTACAAGCTATTGTCATGGCAGTGATCAAAGATTTGTACCAAGGCAAGCACTTCTTCCTTGGTAAAAGCTGAAGATAGCTGGCTGAAGCAAGCAGGAGAGTATAGAAAAGAGGTCTGCCACCTCCTCAGGGGCAGTGTCTCCATCAGCACTATTTTTTTTTTACCAACTACATTACCAAAGTACAAGCAGAAATAAATTACTTTCCTTCCTTTATAAGCAAAACCACAAAGACAAAATTATGTCTGAACTACAAAAATCAAAAACTTCTCTGAGGTTTTTTCTGAAAAAGAAAGATTATTGAAATTAGCATGAATACCTTCTTTGAGAGTAGTATGAATATCTTCCATATCACATCTAATTTTTGCTCTGCAGTTTAACAGCTTCTTATCCCATGTTATTAAGACCTCCTTCTGACATACTCCGACCTCTTCATAGTCTAACTTCACTTTCCTAGACTGGAGTTCATCTCTTCTTGCTAAAAAAGAAAATAAATTTATTAAGAGCAATGTGTTTGAAAACAGTATTTTAAACATTTTACAGTATTAATAAAATCATACTCAATGACTGTTAGAGATCAATCACTAAAATCAAAAACTTTTTTAAAAAATTAGGACAATATATAAGGCCCAAATGACCTTGAGTCATTTCATATGAGAAAATATATGCAATAATTTTCTAAGGAGGTTTTACCCTATATCTTATACATAATAACTCTGCTAAGCATTAAAAAACAAACCATGTGGCTATGTCATAACCTCAACTTGCTCACAAATGTAATACCTCAAAAGTGACTGCTTACATCATTATAAACACCATTTAAGTGTTAATATTTTATATATGATATATGTAAGACCATTGCTTCATGCTAACCTTAACTTGAAAAATATTTAACCATGCTAACCTCATCCACTTTTTTCTATTTCCAGAGTTATTCCCCCTGCCCTTACCAGTGTGTTTCACCATTCCTTTTTTAACAATCTTTCCATTTTGGTGCTACAAATTGAACCCAATACCTTGTGCATAGCAAGTGCATACTCTACCACTGAGCTACAACCCCAGCCTCTAGTTTTAATAATCTTAAAAATTCATTTCACTGAAATTAACACTAATTCAACTTTTTAAATAATATAGCACTCTTTTCCATTTGATGGCCAAAATTTGGGTTCAGAACTCATTAAAATACTTGCCCACAAAAGCAACCAGTATCTTGACTTATTTATCCTGATTAACTGACTCCAAAAGAGGAAAAGAAAACACAGACATGTGAGCATACTTTCATTAGGGTCCCCCTGAACAGGAATCTTGAAGAGTGGGCAGTATGCTCTGACACTCCTTGTGCCTCCCTGGGCCCCTTACCTTCTGCAACACAAATCTTTGTTATGCTTCCAAAATTCTCGACAGCACAAAACCAAAAGCAAAAGGAATGTTACTCTTTGTTTAGTGTGTTTGAAACCAATTCCAAAGGGTTTAAATATTTTAAAAACAGACTGTTCTTCAAGCAGCACAGCAAAATACACTCAAGAGGAATCACACTACAGAAGTATTCCTCCTAGATACCACTAGATGGCTTTCTAACACAGTTTAGCTTTGCTTCTCAGTATTTGCTTTATATTTCTCTATAATAACCAAAGAATTTTTCAAAAGAGGAGTATGTTTATTAAAGCTAATAATAAGCAATACTGCATACAGCTTTTTCCTTCTCTGGATCATTGTCCATTTAAGACAATCTGAAAAACCCACTTTATGCTACAATATGCCTTTAGAATACAATACTAAGCTTTAATATTCCCTCAATTAGATAACTGTAAAGAACCCTAAAGAAATAATGATTATTGCTTAGAATTTCAATAGGTTAAATTACTTCTGGCTTTGTTATTTAAGTGCAGAAGTACACAGAACTGATAAAGCTTTCTTGGAGAATATTCTAAACATCAGCTCCTTCCTTTCTTATACTTTAAAATGATACAGTATAGCAGAGCTCCATGTAGACATGTAATCATTTCTATTAAAGCCATCTATTTCTTTAACACCCACAGCTAAGAATACGTGGCATATGCAGAAGACCCCAAGAGCCAAGAGGAACAAATGTAAGTCCCAGAACTTGTTCTGCTAGTCTGTCATTGGCCTAGGGTCAATGTCTTACCTTCCCCAAAGTAGTCACTAACTACTGCAGGCTACAGGATGAAGAATCCAGCTAAACAACCCTATGGCTGTGTTCTGCTCAATCAGTTAATGATTATAAAACTTCCTTTGGTATTTAATAAGATTTTTATTTCTACATACTCCCTACTGAAATATAATTTCATACTTTAAATTTTTTCACCTATTTTTTCTGTTTATGAGTTAGTTCAAGATATAACCAACTGCTTAAAAATATGAATTCCTGCTGAGATTTTTGAAAACTTGAGTGAGTAAATACACATTTTGTTACACAGAATTTTTAAAAGCCATGTCAATGACAATTAATTGAATTTTGTTTTTAAAGAAAAGATTGACTTCCTAAGAATATTTAACAGTTCATGGTTTTTATTCTGCTAAAAATATAGCAATAAAAATAAACAGGTCTTTGCAAACTAAATAAATACTGTTAAAATAAAACTGATTTGAATATAGGTGTAGTAACAACAGATACTAAACTCAGAAATATGTACATCTGTATTTATAAAGCTTTTAGAAAGATAACAAAATAAAAGCCAATGAAAGAGAAACCAATAACCTTAAAAGTCAAAGGATCCACTTAAGCAAAATAATTCATTTCACAGATGTAAAAAACAAGGCCATTTTAGGTGAAGCAACTTAGGTTAAAAGCTTTCACACATTTTTTAGATTTTGGTACTTGTGTAGGCATCTCGTGTGGTTCTATCAACACTGGCAAACTCATTCTTTCAAAAGGCTGAAAAACACATTCTAAAGTATTTAGTATCATAAACAGCAGTCACACAAATTATACAATAGCTATTATAAATTATTTAATTATAAAATTATTGACTTGAATGATTTTCAAATAGAAAATTTATAAAACATTAACAAAAAAATAGGAATTCTGATTTGATGACAGATTTTTTTAATAATTAATTGAAAAAGAAGAAAATTTGCTTGTTCATATTTAAAGGTTTCTCTTAACGCACAATGATATTAAAATTTCCAAATCAAATACACTGATTTCAGGTTATCTACATTCTTTATTACCCAAATGTAGTCTAAAAGCTCCTGATATTTTGACTCTATTAAACAAAAATGCACATAGATGAAGCTGATCTTTTCCATTTCAGAATCATTTAACAAAATGGAAATAAATCATTATAATCCACACATATATACAAAGCAAGTATGAGTGCAAATGTAGACTTCAGCCCTGTTTGAATAGCTAACCTTCAAGTTTCTGGTTTTCTTTCTCCATTCGAAGCAACAAGATTTGTTGATGTATTGCTTTTTTCCACAAACTCTTTAGTTCTTTTGATTTCTTTTTTTCTTCAACCTTTCCTGGGTCATCATCACTGGACAAGAATATAACCAGCGGTTCCTCCTCCATGGTGGGAGCAAGAGGCGACAGTGGCAAAAGCTCATTCCTGTCCAGTCCATCTGCAGAGAAGAAAACCGTGAGAAGCATTCCTTAGTAGTAACCCAGACTACAGAAGTTTTTTCTGGCATCAACAGTCTCTCATCTTAATTTTTCCACATTTAAAGGTGTTCACAAAGCCACTTTCCAAGCAACTATTAGTTTCCAGAACTAATAAATTTAAGTAAAGTCACTAGACTGAATTCCCCTTCTAGATTTCCCTCTCACAGTGAAATAAAAGCATATGTCATCTCACCACTTCTTCTTTCTACACAAAGAGACCTGGAAAAGGGCTGTTCCAAAATGAACTGGGCTTTCCAACACTTCTGCAATTCTTCTATGTGTCTTCTTTGGCTATGCAAAGCAGGACTGCATGGGAAGGTACAATATTTGTGATTTCCTAGGGTCCACAAGCACCATCAGAGTCCTCAGAAGGGCAGCTGAGCAATGCTGGGCCCTTCCTGGCTAAGTGTTGAATGCCAGTGCTCCCTCCCCCTGCAAAATTTTCTTAACTGATCTGGAGTTCATTCCCTTTCCATTCTGGGCCATTTTCCACATACTTCCAATTATTTTCCTATTAATAAACATGATCATATCTCTTAAAACATGTCAATGACTGCTGCTAGTCCAGAGCACAAAGTGCAGGCTCCTGGGAACAGCACAGATAGCTGTCACACTCTGGTCTCACGTCTCAATCTCCACGTTATGTGCCCTACATGCTCTTTCTCACAATTCTCTGACCCACAAAGTTCTCTCACATGACTCTGAAACATTGCTAAGATATGTTTCTTCCTGTGATGATTTTAAATATTTAATTTTTTCTGCGAAGCAGTCTCTGACTATCCTAGGCAGAGTTAATTTTATCTTTAGTAATGCAAATCACGTTCTTTTTCTTTTTGTAATTCACTTACCTCTGCCCTAATTTATAATCTCATGTTTTGTTGTCTTTTTCTAGATTATTGAGTTGACACTCAGAACATTTGATTTTTGGCTCTCTTAGTTTTAGATGACACATTCGTGGCTATGAAATGTCCTCTAAATAGCATGCGGTTGTGAGATGCAGGGTATGGATCATGATACTTTATGCCTTCTAGTTTCTAGGAGTAAGTAAAGTTTGAAGAAAATATCAAATTTTTCAGTCATCTTTTTTTTTGTAGTGGTAGGGATCAAACCCAAGGCTTTGTGTCGGCTATGTAGTGCTCTACGACTGAGCTACACTCACAACCCCAGTTGTCTCTTAATCTTTCCTTCTGTCTGTCCATCCATCCTTCCCTCCTTCCTATCCTTCCCTCTTTTATTTTCCACTGTGATCAAAGAATACGGTAGACATGATCATGATTGTCTAGAACTTACTAAAATATCTTTTTGGCCAAGTACATAATTAATTTTATGAATGTTTTATATATGCTAAAAATGAATGAATTTTCTCTGCAAAGGAAAAGTTCTATATAAATATTAGATCAAGCTTCTTCAGTTCTGGTACTCAAATATATATTTATATTTAATTTTCCTATATTTAATTTTCAGACAGGAATATGTTAAAAACTCCTAGGAGAGCTACTGGTTTTCTCCCTCAAAATTCTTTTAAGTAACATTTTCCAGCTCTCAAGGCTATATAATAATGCATGTTCTCATTACTGTTATATCTTTTTGTTTAATGATATAATTATCACTTTGGATGTTTCTGCTCTACATTCTAATAGGTTTAATATTTGAAGAAAGTTGCCATGCTCTCTCTTTTGATTGACATTTACCAAATGCAATATATTCAACTTTTATTGTTCAACATATGTATGTCATTTTCTTTTATATATCACTTTTACAAAAGACTGTACTCTGTATTGCTTCTCTAATAATTAAAAAAATGTTCTCTAATAATTAAAAAAATTTTCTAGCACTATTATAGTTCCCTATGCATTATGAAATAGGTCCAAAATGGGTTTTGGAAACTCATTCATTTATTCATTCAATAAGCATGTACTAAAGTACTGAATATCTAGTGTGTTCTGATGATACCTGAGAAGAAAACCAACTACATTAGATATAGAAAGAGAAGTTATTTTTTCCCCTATAATCTCTTAAATCTCCTGAATCAAGTGTTTCTGTTATATCCCCTAATTTAGGACACCACGAGGGGAAATTCTTCAGTGGTTACCACACAGACCTGGGTGCTGCATTGCTGAGGGAGACTTATTCATGGGAGATGCAACCCGCAGGAAAATGCGCTGCCGCCAGGAGATTCTGCGAGGAATGACAGGCGTTCCCCCAACACTTAGGGACTCGTTGCTACAGGTGGATGAGGTCCGTTTCCTCCCTTCTCCATCACTGCAGAATGCCAATGAATGTTTAATTTGTAGGGAAAATTGTGTAACATAGTACTTCACAACCTAATGGTAGCACACAAGCCATTCACAAGTTCTGCCACGGGCAAGCACAAGGCACAGGTGACATGGACCAATGCGTCACTAGCACATTGGTCCCCCAGGCCATCACATCCTGGGAAAACTGCAATCCAGGCAATAAGCCCAGCCATGATATGCTCACCTGTTTCTACTTATTCCTCAAGCAGTCCTGGTTCTAATCTGAAGAACAGAAGTACTTATACTGAGGAGTAGACGTTACTTAAGTAATGAACTTGTACTTTCCCAAAGACGTAAAATAAAATAGTTTATTCTAAACAATGTAAATGTTCCATAAAATGACCAAAAAGAGCTTTTCTTATAGCTAAGATAGTCTAATCTAGTAAAGACAGATTCTATCTGTAACTGTTAGGATCTGTCTATAATTGTTATTAGAATTAGTAGCTATTAATACAGCTATTAGTAGCTGGATCATGGCAAAAAATAACCTGTAAATAAGCAGAATAGTCAACCCTGAGATTATTGTTAGGTATATTAAGGGTGGAAAAATGGGAGTTAAATAAGGTTGGATAAGTGAAGTTTAAACAATATTAACTAGAATTCTTTACAGCAGAACTTCTTAAAGACAGTTTAACGCTGGCCTGCACTGTGATGCTCCATCAGGGAAATACTGTATAGAAATTCTTCGACTTAGTTAATATAATTGATTCTTGACTCATTATTCCCAATGTTTTTAAGGGAGTAGGAGATATCACACTTTAGTGCTTTGTAAAACTCACATGTGGAAATACTGGTCTGCTCTAAGAATCTCATTTCCTAAGAAAGATCATTCTGAGTGATGTTAGGCCTATATGCAATAAAAGGTCATCATTACTATGGTTTAGATTTAAAATATCCACAGAGTCTCCTGAGTTCCAAAGTGGAGTTTTCAAAGGGTGATTGGATCATAAGGGCTCTAATTTCATTCATGGATTAATCCATTGATGAGATCATAACTTGATGGAATTATTGGTAAGTAATGGAATTTAGGAGGTAGGAGCAGTTGAAAGGACTGAGTCACACAGGCATGACCTTGGGGACTATATCTGACCCGTGGCCCATTCCTATCCAGTTCATTCCCTCTGCCTCTGCTTCTTCACTGCCATGAGGTGACCACTTTTCCTCTACTATGTTCTTTGGCATGATATTTCTGCCTCACTATAGGCCTAGAATGAAGCCATGTGACCATGAACTGAAATCTCTGAAACAGTGAGCCAAAATAAATCTTTCTTCCTTTAAAATATTCTCAGGTATTTCATAACAGTGACAGAAAGTTGACTCAAAGTTACTTTTGAGATCCAGGCTGTCTGCAGCTAGCAGAAATACAATAATTGTTGTTCTTAAGTGATAGGAATATTTTACCTTTTTAAGTTTCACAATCTGTGAGCTTTCCTGAGAGAATGGTGAAAATGTCAGTACATATTCACATGTGATGACAACCACAAGTGAAGGTGTAAGATATCTAATGGAATCAAGAAGTCCACTACTTAGGTAAGAAATAAAACTCAGAAAATCTACAAGTCTCTCAGACACTCAACAGAACTCAATAGTGCTGAGGTAATTAACATGAAGAGAGCAATTCAAAACCACCTGTTACATTTTTATTTATCCTATGTTTCCATATTTTCAGTTATCAGGCAGTTTTTATTTCTAGTCTAAATCTATCATGCTAGGAATATCACTTTTGAATTGGCTAAATTAAGGGTAAGAAAAGGACATACTCATGAGCTGGTATGCAAGAAGCAAATATGGTATGCTATACAATTTTAGAACATAGCTGATACATACATTTCAATATAGTCACACCCTTCTGTTATGTATCCTGGATAAATTGTAACCCTACTAGGCATCCAATATCCCTACAATACTGATAAATAACCTTTATGTTTACTTTGGAAAGCAGTGATTCAAGTATTTTCCTTTTATTATCTGTGATTCTGGTGTTCTCTGTATAATAGGTATATCTTGATAAATACTCTTAAGAGTATTCTGTATCTTCATTTTCATAGCACTATTTCACTGGGATTATTTGCTAAATACCCAGATCAGGGGTATACTGCAGCAATATATAGTATTATAGTGTACTTCTACTATAGTACCAGTAACAGGCAAATAAACACTCAACAAATAATCATTGAATAAATTAATACTTTATGAAACCATGTGAAATATTAACTCAGAAGGTTAAATAAAAGGGACAAAAAACTATTGGCTGTACTAACATGTCAAGAATAAATAAAAGCTCTACCCTCTTCAAACCCTTTATAGGTAGTCACAACTTTAAGACTTTCTAGCAGAAAGTTCTAGAAGCTGTTTCCCCAAACTGTGAATTGAGCTGCTGATGGCAATGGTAGCATCCACAATGACAAAACTCTTAACAAACAACAAAAAGCATCTTGTCCTAGTAAGTGCTGTTCCTGCCTTACAAGATGGCATCTAATTTATAACTTATGATTCGAAAGCTAAATTAAATATTCATGTTAAAGCAATTTACAGGATAAATATTCAACAAATATTAGTTTCTCTTTAGACTTTTAGGAACTTTACAAAACAAACCAAAAGATTCTGAAATGTTGATATTTTAATGCTGGAATTAAAACATCTTTTTAAAATATCATCTTCCAATTCACTGTTAATGACATATAAAGTGTTTAGAGAGTACTAAAAATAAAACTGAGCAGCACCCTTATCAGTTTAATTATTACCTGTAAAATGTAAGATTTGAAAAGAAATATGCTAAAAATAAATTCAGAAAATATTCTGACATTAGCCTATTATTATATTTTTTAAAATTTCATTACATCTAAAATTTTAAACCCCATAATCTGAATAAACTGTCAAGTGACAGATTTTTCCTTCACATATATGGAATTTAATGGCCAGTGTCAGCCAAAACTTAGTATTCAAAATATAAGAATAATACACCAAAAGGAAGAACTTACATAACAGACCAATGGCCCTTTATCTTGTACTAAAAAACTATTTTATGAAAAAGAAGCTTAGTTGCTGAGGTAAGGTGAAAGCTGCTCTGCTTCATTTAATAAGAAAAGATAAGTATTCAGAAGTTGGGCTCCTGACAATGCAACTTAACAACAATTCAGTGTTTAACAGATACTTAGCCAGTAATCTAACACTCTTAAGGTGGTAATTTCAAGAGCCAAGCCTTTATGAAACACACTGTGCATTGAAATTCCTAGATCCCAATTTGGACACTACTCTAGTAAGGGGGCGGGAGGGTTCTTAGTTTTATTTCTGGTTTTTTACTGCATTAGTTTTCACTTTAACTTCTCCTTTAATTAAACTTAGCATATAAGCCAAGGGTAATGCCTATTTTCTAAGTGAAAATAAAACAAAACAACGTGTGCTGTATACTATAATAATAATGCTAAGGCTCAAAAAAAGCACATACTACATACCAGGCATTGTTCTAAAATTTTACACAAATGAATTAATTTCATCCTCACAGCAACCATATAGGGTAAATGTTATTACTATTCTCATTTTAAGTGAGACAACTGAGGTAGAAGAAGGCTAAGTAATTTGCCAATAATCACAAAAATAATAAGGGAAGGAGGCAGGACTCAAACTCAGGAGGTCCAGAATCCAGACACTTAGGCACCATGGTTCATCGTGCTGATGTAAACACTCTGCATTAGTTTCTACAAAATCTGTAAGATCCTAAAACCAGGGCCAGGGATTTAGCTCAGTGGCACCATGCCTGCCTCGCAAGTGCAAGGTTCTGAGTTCGATCCCCTAAAACCAAAGCTGTTACAAGTCTCAGGATTCTCTGTATTTTAGTAAAAAATTCAGTCTCTAATTAGCATTAAATCTTTCAGTTGATTATTTTTCTTTCCATTTTTTAATGGAATAATTTTAATTCAGCAAAAAATAAGTTCAAAGCACTACAAGTGCTTTATTTCTGTAAATGTCTCACTTTGCTTTGAAATAAATGCAATTTAAAATATAGCTATTTATTTTAAATAGAAGTACTAAATAAAAGACACCTTAATATAGAACATACATATATTGACATTATAATCATCTTTATATTTTAAAGTAATAAATTACAGTTACTCCCTTATTTTTTCATATAATCTTTTACCTCCTTCTTTGGTGTTTTGGAATATGAAGATATACTTTATAAAACTGCTTCCCAACAGTCATAATCAGGAAAATTACTGTGCTAGAATTTCTTCTATTAGAAATTTATAAAATTAAAGGCAAATAACTAGGAAGGAAATACAATTCACACACATTTTTTGTGTTGGTATATTCTATATGTATTGCCAATTAATAAAGAACCCCAATCCGTAAACACAAATGAAGGCTTAGAAGCGGAGAAAATACCTCATGTTATGTACATCACCATGTTGGTTTCCAAGTACTCTGTACACAGCATCTATCAAAAGCTATAGATATAACAGGAACACCCTCAAGCTTCAAAATAACTTTAATATTTCCTTAAACAGTATCACATCAATTACTAAATTAACATTATACTTACTATGTGAACAAAGACTTCTTAATGCCCACTTGCCTACTTTAGTAAGAATTCATTCACTGGTTACCATACAAAATGAAGATCTTCTAATGACCACCTTCCTCTTAGGGGAACATAGCTACACTCTCCCAAAGTAAGCTGTTCTGCCAGTTTTACAAAAATGTTCTGCTGAGCAACAAACTGCCTCCCACCCTCCTCCAACTCCTCAGCACCAACTAAAACTACTAGCCTCATGAAGCCCAAATAAATGACTACACATTGGCTACATTTATATCTAAATCACAATGTATTACAATTGAAGATAAATAACAAAAATCAATTAAACTGATAACTATTTAATAGAAAGCTGAAAAGGGGTTCTCTCTATAAAATGCCTTAAGAAAGCCTGCACTGAACAACATACTGATGAAGTTTAACTTTTGTTC